GATGTAATTCCCTGGAATTCCTCCCTCAGACATGAACATCTTCCACAACGTCAAAAGAAGAAGCAGAAGCCAGTCTATCTTCCACATTCAGTTATTCACAATTCCCAGTAAATTATAACTGCAGACTACTTTTCACTTCCACTGATTAGCTCCTTGCCAGGTGGAAACTGGTTCTTATATCTGTGCATCAACCTCACCCTATTGGCTGCTCCTAATAAGGAGCTGAACATGCCCATATGACTCTGTGCCAGAGTTCCACGAGCAACCAGCACTTCTTACAGATGACATCACTATGAACCACAATGGGGTTCACAAACTCCCACATCAGGCAGATACAACACATCACCTGGTCCAGCACCTTCAAATTATTTAATTAGTTTTTAATTCATATTTTTAAGTTTCTTGCTGGTCTTTAGATTTTAATCTACAAAATATTTACCCCAATATCTCCAGTATATCCAATGGACTGAAGTTCCTCATCCTGGGGACTTTTCTCACAAGCCTTTCTGCACTCCCTCTCTGATATCTCTCTTTAAAAGTGGTGCCTGAATATAGGTACAATTAGCACCTTCTGAACTGGTAACCACCACCGTCAAGAAGGACAAGGGTGGCATTTTGGTAAGGCAAAACAGGGCAGCACTAAGAGGGTCCTGGGGAGTGTTGCCAAACAAACAGACCTAGGGGTTCAGGTACATAGTTCCTTAAAAGTAGAGCTGCAGGTAGACATGATGGTGAAAGAGGCATTTGGCACACTTACCTTCATTGGTCAGAACATTGAGAAAGGAGTTGGGACATTATGTTGTGGTTGCACAGGACATCGGTGAGGCCACTTTTAAAATACTGCATACAATTCCGGTTGCCCTTCTATAGGAAGGATGTTGTTAAACTTGAGAGGGTGCAGAAAGGAAGGTTGAGGGATGAACTGATAGAACTTGAGAGGGTGCAGAAAGGAAGGTTGAGGGATGAACTGATAGAACTTTACAAAATCACGAGGGGCATAGATAGGGTGAAAAGCCAAAGTCTTTTTCCTAGGGTGGGGGAGTCCAAAACGAAGTGGGCATAGGTTTAAGGTGAGAGGGGAAAGATTTAAAAAGGATCTGAGGGGTAACATTTTCATGCAGAGGCTAGTGCATGTATGGAACAAGCTGCCAGAGGAAGTGGTGGCAGCAGGTACAATTACAACATTTAAAAGGCGTCTGGATGGGTGTATGAATAGGGTTCAGAGAAAAGTGGGCCAAATGTTGGCGAATGGGACTAGGTCAGATTGGGATGTCTGATTGGTGCAGACGGGTCGAACCTAAGGCAACAAGGTGCAGGGCTGGATGAACACAGCAGGCCAAGCAGCATCATAGGAGCAGAGAGGCTGACGTTTCGGGCCTAGACCCTTCATCAGAAAAGGGGGAGGGGAAGGGGGTTTTGAAATAAATAGGGAGAGAGTGGGAGGCGGATAGAAGAGGGATAGAGGAGAGGATAGGTGGAGAGGAAACAAACA